CCCCCGGCTGCAATGCAGTTCCCCCCTCCCCTGAGATTCTGGTTTGTGCAGCTGGCGGTGCTGATACAAAACAACTCTGGTTTTTCCTGTTTTAGATGTTTCCAGAGGCATCTTGGGTGGTAAGTGGGGGGGGTCTCCTGGCGTCTGGCAACTCTCACTATTGTTTGGTTCCCCCCTTTATAACCCTCTTGCCCAAGGCAGGAATTCTTTGTGTTCGGTTCAGACTTTTCTCATCTTGAGTGGAAAAGTACCAGATCCGAAATGGGTTCCTGGCCAGCTGTCCTTTCAGGACCAACTACAATTTGGGCTCACTGGAAAAACAAAACCATTCCCAGGTCATTGACTTGATCACCAAGCCATTAAGTTCCTAAATTCTCCCTTGTGGCTTTTGTTAGACTACCTGGACTAATAAAACAGGTTTCCACTTTGTATTTCTAACTTCACAGACAAGAAAGATATGTGCACAGCAAGCGAATATACAGATTCAGAAGATCACAGCATTTAAAATGACATGTTACATCATCCGTTTTGCATAAAGTGTCTTTGAGTTATGCATATTCATAAACCAATTTTCATTGAGCAAGGGAGAGTCCTTGACAGGCAGGTCTTGCTCTGGAATCAGGACCCCACATTGCAGGGTTCTGCGCAGGCATAAAATGAAAGGACGGTCTCTGCCACAAAGAGTTTATAATCCAAGCACCTATCAAGGGACAAAAGATCAACTCCACAGAGGCGAAGAAGTCCAGGTGACCGGGAGAGGACCCTATCTGGGGGGGTCGCTAGTGTAGCACCTATTAAAGTTAGTTCGAACTAACGTCCGTTAGTTCGAACTAACTTTGTAGTGTAGACATACCCTGATAGACTAGGGCAGAGGCGGGAACCACTCCTGAAATGGGTTCCTGGCCAGCTGTCCTTTCAGGACCAACTACAATTTGGGCTCACTGGAAAAACAAAACCATTCCCAGGTCATTGACTTGATCACCAAGCCATTAAGTTCCTAAATTCTCCCTTGTGGCTTTTGTTAGACTACCTGGACTAATAAAACAGGTTTCCACTTTGTATTTCTAACTTCACAGACAAGAAAGATATGTGCACAGCAAGCGAATATACAGATTCAGAAGATCACAGCATTTAAAATGACATGTTACATCATCCGTTTTGCATAAAGTGTCTTTGAGTTATGCATATTCATAAACCAATTTTCATTGAGCAAGGGAGAGTCCTTGACAGGCAGGTCTTGCTCTGGAATCAGGACCCCACATTGCAGGGTTCTGCGCAGGCATAAAATGAAAGGACGGTCTCTGCCACAAAGAGTTTATAATCCAAGCACCTATCAAGGGACAAAAGATCAACTCCACAGAGGCGAAGAAGTCCAGGTGACCGGGAGAGGACCCTATCTGATAGACTAGGGCAGAGGCGGGAACCACTCCTTGCCTCAGTTTCCCCATTTGTAAAGGGGCCAGGCAATGATCCTTGACTGCTTTGGAAAGCGCGGTTGGCTCTGTGGGTTAAAAGCATGTTACACAAGTGCCAGCCCCCCCCCCCCCATACGCTGCCCAAGAGTTGGATCTTTGCATTGTCCATGATTGTGCCTTTGTCCGAATCTTTGGGGGTGGGAGGCATGGAGATCCTTGCTGCTCAGTGGGCCAAATTGTGCTGTCAATTTTACTGGTGTAAATCCATTCAAGTCACTGGAATTAATCCAGATTCACCCTCTTGCTGCTGAGATCTGAATCTTGCCCAGTGTGTGAATGGGAGGAGGTGTGTTGACCTGGGTCATCGGGGCTGGATTCTGATTTCATTGGCACCAATGTGAAACCAGTCACTCCATTAAAGGGACCTACTCCAGATTAACTCTGTTGTACCTGAGATCAGGATCTGTAGGATTCCTCAGTGTCCTGTTTAGAGGAGGTAGTTCTTTGGATGGGAAGCTGGGTCAGGGGACAGGATACCTTGCTTCTGTGCCTGGCTGTAACTCGAGCAGATCACTTCACTTCTCTTCTCTGTGCCTCAGTTTTCCCATCTGTAAAGTGGGGATACTGATCCCAACCATCCTAAGGAAGGTGCAGAGAGGTCTGTGCATGGGAAGCCTGATGGAGGGAGTCATTAAAACCTCTCTTCTTCCAGGTGGAAAGTGGTACAAGCGGCACCTGACCTACCGGATCGTGAACTGGCCCTGGTACCTGCCCCGGCACCAGGTGCGGCTGGCGGTGAAGGCAGCTTTCGAGCTCTGGAGCAACGTCTCTGCCCTGCTGTTTGGGGAGGTGCTGGACGGCCCTGCCGACATCCGCCTGGCGTTCTTCCACGGCGACCACAATGATGGACTCAGCAATGCCTTCGACGGGCCAGGTGCTAATCACTCCCTCCTCGTAAGCTTCTTTTTACACCCGGGGCTCTTACCGGGCCACCAGGGGGCAGGCGAGGTGGGAGGGGGAAGAGGTCTGTCACGCTCTGGTGTCACCCTCCTGAGGCTACGGCTCCATGTCCTTTTGCGAAAGATTTTTGCCATAAAAACCCGTGTAGATGAGCCATTTGTCAGAAAAAAACCGTTTTTCGCAAGATCCTGTAAACCTCCATTTTTGAGGAATAAGGGATCTTGTGCAAAAGGGGGTTTTCCTGACAAATCTACACGGGGCTTATTGCAAAAACCTCTACTGCAAAAAGATTCAGAAGATATGCAAATGGGCACGATTTGCATCTCTTCTGCAAAAAAAAAAACCCAGCAGTATAGCCCTAACCAACACTGTGTGGCAGAACTGTCTCCTCATCCACAAAAAACCGGCCGTGTAGACATAGCCTGAGGGATCAGCTTAATGCTGCTGGCCAGGAGTAGCGCCCCCTGGCGGACAGAGAAGGATGGGCCTGGCAAATATCACTTCAGGCTGTAATGACAAGTGGAGCAGATGTGAGACATTGATGGTGTTTAGATGTAGATCAGCGGTTCCCAACAGATGGGGACGCATTTTGACAATTCAGGAAGACTTGGTGACCCACGGCAATTCCAAAACAGGGGGAGGAGGGAGGGCAGAGCCACCTGGGGAGATACTTGGCGACCCTTTTGAAATGTAATGGCGACCCGTATTTGGGTCCTGACCCATAGATTGAGAACCCTTGATGTAGATAGTGCTGGGTCCTGCCGGGACCCCTCGATGGCCTCTCGAGACCCCTTCCTGTTCTAGTGCTCTAAAGGGAGGTCACTGTCCTCTGCTTGGCCCTGGGGAGGCCTCAGCTGGAGCACTGTGTCCAGTCCCGTGCTGCTCTTCGGGATGGATGGGGACAAACTGCAGCAAGTCCAGAGGAAACCTGACGTATGAGCCAAGGTTACACATACGGGTGATGCTGAGCCTTGAGAAGGGACGGACGGCATAACAGTCCTCAGATGTGTGAGGGGTGCAATGAACAGAACAGTGACCCCTTGCTCTCTGTGGGACCATAGATGACCTCACTGGATGTTTCCAAAGCAGGCAGGATGGGTGGCTAGCCATCTGTCCTGGGTGACTGGAACACAGGGGCTATGTCTACACGGGCGGCTTCTTGCGCAAGAACATCTTGCGCAAGTGTTCTTGTGCAAGAACATGTCCACACTGTCACGTGCGAGCTGTGCTTTTGCACAAGAGCGTCCATGGCAGTGTGGACACTTTCTTGCACAGGTAATCCCTGCCGAGCGTCCACACTGCCCTCTTGCACAAGAGCTCCTGTGCAAGAGGGCTTACACCTGTCAAAAAAGAGCGTAGCTCTTGCGCTCGGAGCCCCCTCTTACCACTCCGTACTGTGAATTTCCTCGCTCAAGAGCAGGTGGGCAGTGTGGACGCTCTGCAGATTCTTGCGCAAGAATGGCCGTACTTGCGCAAGAAGCCGCGAGTGTAGACATAGCCAAAGTCCTCATCCACAAAAAACCGGCCGTGTAGACATAGCCTGAGGGATCAGCTTAATGCTGCTGGCCAGGAGTAGCGCCCCCTGGCGGACAGAGAAGGATGGGCCTGGCAAATATCACTTCAGGCTGTAATGACAAGTGGAGCAGATGTGAGACATTGATGGTGTTTAGATGTAGATCAGCGGTTCCCAACAGATGGGGACGCATTTTGACAATTCAGGAAGACTTGGTGACCCACGGCAATTCCAAAACAGGGGGAGGAGGGAGGGCAGAGCCACCTGGGGAGATACTTGGCGACCCTTTTGAAATGTAATGGCGACCCGTATTTGGGTCCTGACCCATAGATTGAGAACCCTTGATGTAGATAGTGCTGGGTCCTGCCGGGAGGGCAGGGGACTGGACTCGATGGCCTCTCGAGACCCCTTCCTGTTCTAGTGCTCTAAAGGGAGGTCACTGTCCTCTGCTTGGCCCTGGGGAGGCCTCAGCTGGAGCACTGTGTCCAGTCCCGTGCTGCTCTTCGGGATGGATGGGGACAAACTGCAGCAAGTCCAGAGGAAACCTGACGTATGAGCCAAGGTTACACATACGGGTGATGCTGAGCCTTGAGAAGGGACGGACGGCATAACAGTCCTCAGATGTGTGAGGGGTGCAATGAACAGAACAGTGACCCCTTGCTCTCTGTGGGACCATAGATGACCTCACTGGATGTTTCCAAAGCAGGCAGGATGGGTGGCTAGCCATCTGTCCTGGGTGACTGGAACACAGGGGCTATGTCTACACTGGCGGCTTCTTGCGCAAGAACATCTTGCGCAAGTGTTCTTGTGCAAGAACTCTTGTGCAAGAAAATGTCCACACTGTCACGTGCGAGCTGTGCTTTTGCACAAGAGCGTCCATGGCAGTGTGGACACTTTCTTGCACAGGTAATCCCTGCCGAGCGTCCACACTGCCCTCTTGCACAAGAGCTCCTGTGCAAGAGGGCTTACACCTGTCAAAAAAGAGCGTAGCTCTTGCACTCGGAGCCCCCTCTTACCACTCCGTACTGTGAATTTCCTCGCTCAAGAGCAGGTGGGCAGTGTGGACGCTCTGCAGATTCTTGCGCAAGAATGGCCGTACTTGCGCAAGAAGCCGCCAGTGTAGACATAGCCAAAGAGTCTTGCCTCTAGGTGGGGGCAGGCCAGAGGGCCTCGTGGTCCTTTCTAGCCCTCTGGCTCTGAGATTCAATCGTGGGAGGTAGGACAAGGAGGTACGGGCTGGGTCTGGAGACTGAGGTTAGCGACTAGGGAAAACCTCCCTCCAAGGGGAGTCTAGCTTGGAACACGCTTCCCTGGACGTGCTGGAATCCCCATCACTGGGGGGTTTCAGAGCAGGCTGCACAAGCATCTTCAGGACTCATTCAGACTTGGGCTCGATGGCTCGTTGAGATGCCTTCCAGCCCTGCATTTCTGAGTCTCACTCTGGGGCATGGAGTTCCTCCTGGTTTATACGGAGTAAATGAGAGCAGACTCGGGGCCACGCTGTCCAATGGAGGTGGGAGCTTGGGGAGGCAGAATGTATTCCTGAGCAAGCTGCAGTTTGGCCAGGACACGGACCAACTACGCAAGCCCTTGTGTCTGTCTCCTAAGGACTGAACAACACGCCTCCTGCAGGGTGCCCTGAAATCTTCCATGGACAACGTAGCTGCATTGACTGTGACAGAGCTAGGTTAACGTACGCCAGGCCTGGATCAGTGCCCTGCTTTTTATATTTCCACCAATGGGGAGCTTGTGCCATCGTGGTGCACAGAACAAAATTCATTCCGCACATGGACATCAATAATTATAGGGAACGCTGCCTCAAGCAGGACTATTTTTCCCTTTCTTACTTGTCATCCACCCCCTAAAATACTAACTGCGTTATTTCCGCAAGCCAAAGAATTTCCCAGCATAGCCCATGCTGATACACATGTTAAATAGGCTGGTTGATAGTTTGAGGGTAGTGCGAAAATTGCTCAATCTGCTTGCGTCTCGTCCCACCACGGTCTCTGTCCTTTGCGCTTTTGTGCCCTGACATCCTGAACTAGCGGTAGAACAGGACTGGCACTTGGGGGTGAGCTTTGCGTGAATTGTAACGACTTCCCTTCCTCTCCTTCCGCCAGGGGGCGCCCTGGCGCACGCGTTCTTCCCCCGCCGGGGGGAGGCCCACTTCGACAGCGACGAGCGGTGGTCCCTGCACAGTGGCAAAGGTCGCAACCTCTTTGTGGTGGTAGCGCACGAGATCGGGCACACGCTGGGGCTGGAGCACTCGCCCGTCAGCAACGCCCTGATGTCTCCCTATTATAAGAAGCTGGGCAAGGACTTTGTGCTGAGCTGGGATGACATCCTCGCTGTCCAGAACCTGTACGGTGAGCACAGCCCTCTAGGATTCCCCCCACCCCATCGTCCCAGGCCGGGGTGGGGAACCTAAGGCCCAGGGGCCGGATGTGGCCTCCAGCTTGCCTGGATCTGGCCTCCAAGGCTCAGAGTTCCCCCCCCAGCATCATGGAGCTGGTACTGGTGCTCCAGCCTTGCAGCTCCACCCCCTCCCTCCAGGCCCCTTCACGGGTCTGGAGCACCAGCACAATGCTGGGTGGGGGGGAACCGAGTCTCTTGCGCAAGTGTTCTTGTGCAAGAACTCTTGTGCAAGAAAATGTCCACACTGTCACGTGCGAGCTGTGCTTTTGCACAAGAGCGTCCATGGCAGTGTGGACACTTTCTTGCACAGGTAATCCCTGCCGAGCGTCCACACTGCCCTCTTGCACAAGAGCTCCTGTGCAAGAGGGCTTACACCTGTCAAAAAAGAGCGTAGCTCTTGCGCTCGGAGCCCCCTCTTACCACTCCGTACTGTGAATTTCCTCGCTCAAGAGCAGGTGGGCAGTGTGGACGCTCTGCAGATTCTTGCGCAAGAATGGCCGTACTTGCGCAAGAAGCCGCGAGTGTAGACATAGCCAAAGAGTCTTGCCTCTAGGTGGGGGCAGGCCAGAGGGCCTCGTGGTCCTTTCTAGCCCTCTGGCTCTGAGATTCAATCGTGGGAGGTAGGACAAGGAGGTACGGGCTGGGTCTGGAGACTGAGGTTAGCGACTAGGGAAAACCTCCCTCCAAGGGGAGTCTAGCTTGGAACACGCTTCCCTGGACGTGCTGGAATCCCCATCACTGGGGGGTTTCAGAGCAGGCTGCACAAGCATCTTCAGGACTCATTCAGACTTGGGCTCGATGGCTCGTTGAGATGCCTTCCAGCCCTGCATTTCTGAGTCTCACTCTGGGGCATGGAGTTCCTCCTGGTTTATACGGAGTAAATGAGAGCAGACTCGGGGCCACGCTGTCCAATGGAGGTGGGAGCTTGGGGAGGCAGAATGTATTCCTGAGCAAGCTGCAGTTTGGCCAGGACACGGACCAACTACGCAAGCCCTTGTGTCTGTCTCCTAAGGACTGAACAACACGCCTCCTGCAGGGTGCCCTGAAATCTTCCATGGACAACGTAGCTGCATTGACTGTGACAGAGCTAGGTTAACGTACGCCAGGCCTGGATCAGTGCCCTGCTTTTTATATTTCCACCAATGGGGAGCTTGTGCCATCGTGGTGCACAGAACAAAATTCATTCCGCACATGGACATCAATAATTATAGGGAACGCTGCCTCAAGCAGGACTATTTTTCCCTTTCTTACTTGTCATCCACCCCCTAAAATACTAACTGCGTTATTTCCGCAAGCCAAAGAATTTCCCAGCATAGCCCATGCTGATACACATGTTAAATAGGCTGGTTGATAGTTTGAGGGTAGTGCGAAAATTGCTCAATCTGCTTGCGTCTCGTCCCACCACGGTCTCTGTCCTTTGCGCTTTTGTGCCCTGACATCCTGAACTAGCGGTAGAACAGGACTGGCACTTGGGGGTGAGCTTTGCGTGAATTGTAACGACTTCCCTTCCTCTCCTTCCGCCAGGGGGCGCCCTGGCGCACGCGTTCTTCCCCCGCCGGGGGGAGGCCCACTTCGACAGCGACGAGCGGTGGTCCCTGCACAGTGGCAAAGGTCGCAACCTCTTTGTGGTGGTAGCGCACGAGATCGGGCACACGCTGGGGCTGGAGCACTCGCCCGTCAGCAACGCCCTGATGTCTCCCTATTATAAGAAGCTGGGCAAGGACTTTGTGCTGAGCTGGGATGACATCCTCGCTGTCCAGAACCTGTACGGTGAGCACAGCCCTCTAGGATTCCCCCCACCCCATCGTCCCAGGCCGGGGTGGGGAACCTAAGGCCCAGGGGCCGGATGTGGCCTCCAGCTTGCCTGGATCTGGCCTCCAAGGCTCAGAGTTCCCCCCCCAGCATCATGGAGCTGGTACTGGTGCTCCAGCCTTGCAGCTCCACCCCCTCCCTCCAGGCCCCTTCACGGGTCTGGAGCACCAGCACAATGCTGGGTGGGGGGGAACCGAGTCTCACAGGCCAGAGTCAGGCAAGCTGGGTCCTGATCCAACCCACAGGCAGGGGGAGGAAGTTGCTCCCGTCCAAACCTGCACCCCCAGCCCACTCCTGCACCCTCCCACCCTTCCAGACCCACCAACCCCCTCCTCCTGCATACTCCCTCCTGCCCAGACCCCACACCCCAAGCCTGCTTCCCAGCAGCCCCTTCCCACACACTGGACCCCACGCAGAGCCTAAGGAAATGTCTTTCTGCTTCTCAGTTGGGGGCCATATCAGGGAGGAGTTCTGTTTCAGTGGGGTTTTTTTGCTTCCCAATTTGTGTGCCCCGACTGATTTTTCTTTGGGTCAGTGGCCCCTGACCTCAACAAAGTTCCTCACCTCTGGGTTAAGACAAGGTACCCATTTCTACATTGGGATAAACAACATGGCTGTGTCTAGACTGGCCAGTTTTTTCGGAAAATCAGCCGCTTTTCCGGAAAAACTTGCCAGCTGTCTACACTGGCCGCTTGAATTTCCACAAAAGCACTGACTTCCTACTGTAAGAAATCAGTGCTTTTTGCGGAAATACTATGCTGCTCCCGTTCGGGCAAAAGTCCCTTTTGCGCAAAAGTTTTGCGCAAAAGGGCCAGTGTAGACAGCTGAGATTTGTTTTCTGCAAAAAAGCCCTGATTGTTTAAATGGCGATTGGGGCATTTTTGTGCAAAAGCACGTCTAGATTGGCACGGATGCTTTTCCGCAAAAAGTGCTTTTGTGGAAAAGCATCCGTGCCAATCTAGACGCTTTGTTCCGAAAATGCTTTTAACGGAAAACTTTTCCGTTAAAAGCATTTCTGGGAAATCATGCCAGTCTAGACACAGCCCATGTGTGCCACCTTACATGTGCCATGACATCTGTTGGTTACCTTCCCTTGCTCCTAATATCTTGGACAAAACATCCCTCTTCATTGCTTTGTCAAACCATCTGTATTGGGATGTGTCTGTACTAGCTGGAATATATTTATGTAACTATCTAGGGCCTAGTATGCTAGCTTTGCCAAGCTCATGTACTGGAAAGGAACCCCCAAGCATCTGCTTTAATCAGGGCTTGGCTTTGGTTCACAGTCTATGGTTCGAGCCCCAGATCTTACCCCAGGCCGAATGCTCCAGGGTCTGTCTCTCTGACACCCTCTTGTTTTAGCTAGAGCTGGGTGGGTGACATTTCTTCTGGTTTTCGGGCAATTCCAGAAAGTAATAGGGAGGAGGGCAGGGAACCGTCATCAGATCAAGCCCAAAAACTGTCAGAATGTCGTGTGAATTGAAAAGTAACCCCCCCAAAAATTGTTTCAGCAACATTGAAAAGTTTCATTTCGATTTTGACCACCTGAAAATGTTTCTGCCTGATTTTTTTTAAAACCAAGTTAAAGGAAATTTTAGAACAAAAAGTGGCTTCCAGCCGGGAAATTGAAATGTTTCATGATTTGGGGGATTTTGTTTCTAAAGAATGCAGTGAAATTGACATGAATTTCCAGACTCTTTTGGGGTCGCCAAGTGGCATCTTTTGCCAGAAAAAATTGTTTCTGCTGAAAAGCTTCACAGAGCTCTAGTTCTGAGACCCTTCCCTCCGAGGAAGATCTGCGCCAGACCCCGGAAAGGCAGGGGAAGCAGCTGCAAGGCAGCCCTTTATTTGAGCCAAAGGGTCTCCTTTGCACATCGCACACCATGAAACTGGTGCAAAGCCTGTGAGCCAGGAACAGCCTTGGAGCTATTGGTCCGGCGCAAGCAGCTGGTGCTGCCGTTCAGGAGATGGATGTGGGGGAGCGAGATGCCTGCAGTTTGTGGTCAGAGGAGCGTGACCAGCAGGACAGGGTGTCTGCCCGTTGATTAGCAGCCCACGTTGCTCAAGTCAAAGCTTGGACGTGTTGCCCACTTCCTCCTGAGAGCAGGGGACGGTGGGACAGCTGATGCCCCAGCGCTGAGAGAGCTGATGAGGCCCCTCCAGATAAAAGCCTCCCGGGATATCTGAGTCAGGGGTGTTAAATTGCCTTTAATCAGCTAATCGAGTACTCAGTGGAATTTCCATGGACTGCTTGATTAGCTGATCAGCAGGGAAGCTGCTGAGCCTCAGCAGGGTTCACTCACAGCCCTAGGAGCTAACCCCACCAGGCTCTGCCTTTTAAATGTAATAAGAGCTGCCAGGCTCTTAATACATTTGGAAGGAAGAGACGCCCCCCCTGGCCTGCCACAAACAGAGGCAGCAGAGTGTGTGTGGGGTGGAGGATGTGGGGGACAGGCAGCCCCACAGAGACAGTTCTGGGGAAAGCGGCTTTTAAGCCGGCTCCCCCCCAGCACCAGCTCCTGCTCCCCCCCACCTTGCTGCCTCTCTCTGATAGGGGCAGCAAGGGAGGGAAGTGACTAGTCAGGAGACAACTCAACTAAGCATTGGCTTATTGGGTAGTCGGCTAGTGACTTACACCCCTAGTCTGAGTGCCTCCGAGGAGCACCCCTTTTCCTGTCCCCTGGGGGACTGACTCCTTTCTTGGGGTGTTGTGGAAGCCAAGACTATAACAGCCTTCCAAAAGAGCTAGAGAAATCCATGGAGGACAGGTCCCTCAATAGCTACTAACCAGGACGGGCAGAGAGGGTGTCCCTGGCCTCTGTGTGTCGGAGGCTCGGGAGGAATCACTTGAAGATTCCCGGTTCTGTTCGCTCCCTCTGGGGCACCTGGCGTTGGCCACTGTGGGCAGACAGGACTCTGGGCTGGTGGACCCACTGTGGCCGTTCTTAGGTGCAGCATCCCCAGTGCAGCTGCTGACTCTATTTCCCTTTCCGTGGCAGGGAAGCCTTCCAGGGGCTCGGCTGTGCGGCTCCCCGGGAAGTTATTTGCCCATTTCCAGGGCTGGAGCCCGGATTTTCCAGGCACCGATCCGCTGCAGGGGACGCTGGGCTCTTACTACTGCCAGTCCTTCTTCGACGCCATCGCCATTGGTGAGTCTCCCGGATGCCGGCCGCAGCTGGAGCCCTCTCCCTGCGGCTCCGTCCAGCCGCCCTCTCCTGCTGCTGGCCACTTGTGGATGTCCCAGGTGGAAAAGAGATTGATGAGATCCACTGACCCATCCCCCCTCCAGCTGCTGCTGTGTCCATAGGGGTAATAGCCAGCGGGGATCGAGTCTGGGCCACCATTGAAAGGGGCGAGGAGGATGCGCAGGTGTGTCGGCGGGGAGGGAAGGAGAAGCGCCTGTCATGTGGGAGAGCGGCCATCTTGGTTGCCACACCACGACGTGAACCGGGCACCTCAGAACGAAAAGCAGGAGCCAGGCGTCCCTTGGAAGGGCGGTGGCTGACTCCTGCCCTCTGCAGACCAGGCACAGAAGGGAGACGTGTAACCCAGTGCGCTACTTAAACGTTCGCGTGGTCTGCGGGGCCGACAGCCACTGTGGGCCCCGGGGCAAGGTGTGTGTGGGGGCCGGCTTTGCGCCCCTCGATGGGGCGGGCCTGAGGGCAGTCAGCCCGTAGCCCCACCCAGACTGCAGCACAGGCCCCCCCAGCCCACAGAACCACGTGGAGTGGCGCTCTGGTGGCAATTCAAAGGGGTGGTAGCTGGGAGTCCAGGCCCGGGACAGTTACCCCCTTTGCCCCCCCCATCCATCAGTGGGCCTGCATGTGGTAGTGCGAGGAGGCATGAGAGAGGACAAAGGGAAGACCTAGCGGGAGTTGAAGGGCAGGGCTGGCAGAATGAACTTGAGGCAGGAGGAGAGAGACGAGGTGGGTGCGGTGGTGTCGCAGTGGGCTGACTTGTGTGGGTGAAAGGCAGGCAGGAAAGGTGAGTGGCCTAGAAGGCGCGACAGGACCACCCCAGTGGTCCCTGGATCGAGAGGGGGAGAAGCTGGAGGCCGCAGGGGGGCAGGCGGCTGCAGGGGGCGGGGGAGAGGGCTGGCGCCATGGAGTGGGAAGGGGGCACAGAGAGGGCAGAGCAGAGGAGCTGGCAGGACGTGCACCGATCCTGATGTGGGGCCAGGGGAGGGGAGCTAGAGATGGGTCCGTGGTGAGGAGCTGGGTGGGGGGTTGTGAAGGGCCGGGGAGCAGAGGGCTCAGGAGGGAGCGGCAGGGCTGCCAGGGCATGTTCAGAGGAGGAGCCGACAGACGTGGGGCTGGGGCTGGGAAGACGACTCCCCCAGGGTGGGGGAAAAGGCAGATCCATCAGAGGGGCACCAAGGAGGCCTGGGCCGCGCTGCTATCCGAGGGGGCCCACTGGCTGGCAGGGACAGGGACAGGGACAGGGCCCAGGGTGGCAAAGCCAAGCTCCCGCTAACTCGGTTCCCCTGCCTGCCCAGATGCAGATCACAAGCTCTACATCTTCAAAGGCCACCACTACGCCTCTCGGGGTGTGGGGGCGGAGGGGCGCCACCCCCCCGGAGCCGCAGCTGCTGCAGAGCCGATGGGCCGAGCTCCCTGCTGGCATCGACGCGGCTGCAGTGTCGGAGGCAGACGGCAAATTCTACTTCTTCAAAGGTAGCAAGACCCGGGGGGCGGAGCAAAAATCAGCCCCATGTGGGTCTGTTGGCCCGGAGCATGGCCAGGAGCACTGGGATTCTAGGTTCTGTTCCTGGCTTTGCCGCTGACCTTAGGCAAACCCGCTTCGCTGCGGCGTGCCTCAGTTTCCCCCTTGCAAAATGGGGACACTCCTCCATGGTGCAACCCTTTGCGATGGAAGGGCGGGGAGCACTGGGTAAGTGCTAAGTGGTGTTGATTGTCAAGAGGCCAGCACAGAGCTGAACTCTGGGGCTGTGGGTCCGGAGTTAGAGGGGAGGAGGATGGGGTCCCCCATGTGACTGAACTGCTGCAGCGGGGTGGCTTTGTGGACATGTAGCGGGGCACGCTCAGGGTCGGGGGGGCACGCTCAGGGTCGGCGGGGCACACTCAGGGTCGGGGGGGGATGCTCAGGGTCGGGGGGGCACGCTCAGGGTCGGCGGGGCGCGCTCAGGGACTCGGGTGGGAAG